CACCCAATTTTTTTTCATGCATTTATTATAACCTTCGAATGAGCAATCCACGAGAATTCTTCACCTATTTCGGATGAAAACAGGGTAAGCTTTCGTCCTTCGTATGACGGGCGGCATTAGCGTTGGGGTACCCTCATACTAAAGCTTTAAATGAACACTCCATCTTTCGGTGAGTTCGAACTGGTAACTTTTTAATCCAGTACTTGCCTACAAAATGAAAGTCAATTGGCATTCCGTTACTTGGAGGGCTGTAAAATCTGTAATTCGGAAACCTTTGTTGATCCAAATTATTTGTACCAGTAAATATGGAAGCTATCCTGACTCACTATTCTCCTAGAATTTGTGGAAAATAGGCCATCTGGAGCAGAAATGAGCAGGCTTTAAGTGTATTTTATATAAGTTATTTAGGCGCTTCAGTTAACTTGAGGAGATGCAGAAACTGATTGTTGAATTTCCTAAAATGAAATGAGTAGATCTCACATCTAATCTCATTTTTATAATTTTATTATTGAGCCAGGAAGCCCTCGAAGAATGCACCCTTTCCAGCATTATCTGCCATAATGTTTATGATAATTTCAAGCGCATGATCATGGGATTTGGACATTCCCAAATATTCGCCAACATCATAGTCGGCATTATCAGCGGGTAGCCATATACAACTCGTCAGAAAGCGGTGAAGAACATCCCCTAACCATCGTCCTTAAGAGTGACTGCAATACCTCCCCAGCTCTTGTTCTGTTACAAAGAATGGAGTTTACTTGCCTCCTTGGAAAGTAGTAGCGAAATAGGCAATAAAAAAAATGTATCCCTCAATCTACCGATTTCCTGGTGCCCGTGATTTATGTGGGCCAGATTGTGATACCTTGGTGTTTTTGGCCTGATAACTCCCGTTTTAACCCTATCTATATAATATGATAAGTAATTAATACCCAACTCCTTTATCGCAGTTTATTTTCTTTTTCTAACCTCATAGAAAATTAGGTAATTTCATCCAATCTTTGCTGCTTGGCAACATGGCAAAGGAGATTGGAAAAATCACTTAAGATAATGAATCGATTAAATGACTTAACTAAATTTACTATGGAGTTAGAAAAGGAAGTTAACCGCCATTACTAGATGTGCTAGTGAGAAAAAGCAATAAGTTAGGTAGAGGCGTGTATAGGAAACCCACACACGCAGGATTCCTAATCAATTTCTTATCCAATCTTTTATATGAATTATGACATCAATGATAATAAGAAGTCTGCGTCCAATAGACCAGGAAATCGGTAGATTGAGGCATATATTATTTATGTTTAATAGATAATTACATTTATATAATCATAAACAGGAGGAGGAGAGAATCTAATTGGGACAGGATAGACAGAATGACCAATATACTCTTTTTCTGATTTTACCTTCCTGTCAGCTTGCAATAAAGTTGTGACCTACTGAGGAAGTAGAACATCATAGCATTGTATAAAGAAAAACGAACAATCTCTTCAGCTATTCCTTCTTTTTGAGAATTTTCTGATACTCTTTCAAGATAAGACTGTTACAATGTTTTGTGCTCATGTGGTAATGTCTATGTGTGGGAGGCCTGCCGACCTGTCCACAAGAAACTATGCGAACACAAAACCGCTTGTTAAGATCTATGGATTCCAAAATCTGAGCTCGCTGAACATATGACCAATACAGGGCACTCAATAAACTGGTCCAAAGCACAACGTTTTGCGGTTTACATGGACTTCAAATCAAAGCGTAGGATTAGGCATTCTATAAAGATGAACAAAAGATGCAACCTTCTGAATAGGATGAATGAGTGCTAAAAAATGAGTATAAACTGGCTATAACTGCTGGATAAGCTCAGAGGGAAAGGAGGAAGAAGTACAGAGCCAGTGAATGAAGCTGGAATAGCTTCGAGTCTGGTTAGATTTATCATACCTCTCATGAGGTGAACATTGCTTACACTCAAAAGACTATAGTGCATTCCTAGAGATTAATAAACAGTAGAAGATTGTATGCTTGTTTATATAGTTAGGGAAATAGCTTCCTGATCATGAATTGGGTTTACTTATCACTAAGTATGCACTGTAAGGTTAGTGTAGCCAACCAAGTTTGCAAGACTGGGCATAAGAAGTGAAAATGGTTGCATTCGGCCAACTCTTTGCTTAGTTTACTATATTGCTACGTTTTTTGGTGAATTAGGGATTCCTTATCTGATGATGTCTTGTTAAGAATTTCTTTTATCTCGTACGAAAGTGCATGATTAAGAGATTTATAGGTCGATCTCACTAGAAGACGACAGCCGATTCCCGTTTTTCTGTAGCATTTTGGCTTAATTACGACACTCAGTTTAATGCAGTCCAAGAGCCATTCTATCACGTTTCGGGTGAAAATGGGCTAAGCTTTGGTCCATCACATGATGGACATCATCAGAGATAAAACCTACTCTTATAAAAGTCTCAAGTTAACATCGGACCAAGAAGAATGTCTGGCTCTATCTTACGTCTTTTATATATTCATAAATAATAGATATACATGTAAACATAGTTGGATATTGGAAAATTTGTCTAAATCCCTTTTATATTTGTCGTGGTTCATTTACTTGAGCGTGTGTGTGTGTGTGTGCTGACGTCTGTACTTAATACAGGCCATAACTTACTATGTATCTGCACTATCATGTTTTGAGTCCCGCTACAGATGCTGAGGAAGCCTAATCCAGGTCAAAACTGCAGTCCACTGTGTATGAGGATACCTTTTGGGCAACAAGGCTATGTGAAATGCAATGGAAACGTAGGGTGGACTCACAGCATTGTGTTGGGCTCAGCTGCTCTTAAAAGCATTTTTGTGTTCCCCTAATCCGTGTCAGATAGGCCTGCATGTCTCACCAACATGAGGCCGACCACAGGAGCACATAATTTTGCAGTAGCCCTACTTCGATAAGGGGTTATATTTCTCTCTAAAAGATAGCATAAACGACGAAAGTGTGAGAGTTTCTTTGAACACTGTTTGTATCCCTCCCTTACTCACTAGTTCGCCTAGCTTTTTAGACAGAAGGCATCACGAGAAAAATTAGGACATGAGAAAGGGTGTTAGCTTGTCTATATTTGATTAAATTGTCTCAATCGGAAAATTTATTCTTCATCAAAAAGATATTAGTCTCAATTAGATCTAAAGGATAATTATATTCCAAAAATTAATTTTTCAGCCTTCTTATCTCTTCGGTCAGATAAATTCAATCAGCAAGCCTCATACTCTTAACAGCTGGAAATTTAAAATTCTAACCTTAGTTTTGTAAATATGGTTATCAAAAAAATTGGGAACAAAAATAGCTTATGCTCGCTTCCTATAAACTTCTCTGCCCAACTTAACTTCTTCCCCAATAATCATAACATTAAAAAATATAATCTTTTATTATCTTATAATTCCATTTTGAACCTAATATCTTTCTTCACTTTGGCGAAACGAAAGTAGGAAACTATCTCATCTTTCCTTACCATGCTGCTAAATGACAAAATTATGTATAGCACACGATTGTGGAGTAAAACGATGAGGCGAGATCGAAAAAGTAGTCCAGTCTGGGTGAGATCGACATTATGAAATGCATGGCAAAGTGGACTTATCAGTAAAAGGAAAACTCGACAGAATACCCTATATCTGAGCCCACATCAGTGATATAAATTTACTAATGCGAATTCC